AAGGCCAAAAAGAAAAATACAAATAAGTGAACATAATAATAATAATACATACCCACAGGTACTTTCATTTTACTTTATAATACTTAGATCATTTTTTAGCAACCTTTTGAAATGTACTTTAGAATTTTGATTTGAGGTAACGTGCCTTTGTGACGTGCAACAATATTAACATGAACCTTTCTGCTGGTCGCTTGTTAGCAGACCCTTCACGCGATGGCAGAGCGAACAGGTACAGGCAGGGCCCATAGTGATAGCCCTATAGTTTAAATCTACTACCCACAAATAAACATATGGACATGGGTTACTATTTAAAACAAATTGTAAATGTATTTAGGAACCTATCCATGTGATCTTAAGTGGGGGTGGACCTCACTGCTGACACACAAGCAGCGGTTTGATTGGCTAGAGCTTGTACTGGCATATGATTTGATTGGCTGACGCTTGGAAGAAGCTTCCAACGCTGCTGTGTGGACGGGCCGTTACCGTACCGGTTACTTTGCAGCCCGGACATTTCCCCAAAACACATTTAGACGTGATCGCAACACAGAAGTACCTTTCAAATCCCATCATTTTTAAGACCTTTTAAATCATATTTAAGACCTTTCTACTTTTTTTGATCATATTTAAGACTTTTTAAGGCCTTAAATTCTGATTATCAAATGTAAGACTTTTTAAGACCCCGCGGGAACCCTGATTATACATGGATTGCCAACTAATTTGTACATGTCTTATTCATTGTTAATATCTGTATTTGTGGATGTCATTGTTTGTGTTTGTAAAAAATGAAAAACTCAATAAAGATATTGTTTAAAATAAAAAGATATGTTTTGTGTTACCTGGAAGTGCCCGGATCCCTGCACGGAGAAGATGAGGATGATGAGGTTGTTCTCGAGGAAGGCCTTGGTGAGTTTGCCCTCGTTGCTCGGGGTGGTGGACCAGATCCCTTTCTGCTGAGAGATCTCGATGTTCCTCACACTGCTGCTCTTCATGATGAAGTGCCGCACCGAGGGGAAGGCCGGCTGAGAGGACGGGGGCTTTGAGATCTGCTCAGAGCAACGGGAGCAAAACTAGGGTTAGAACCGGACAAAATAGCACTTTGATTTAAAGGTCCCCTATTATACTGTTTATCATCAATATATTATAGGTCTCAGATATATACAGAACCTGTCTCTGATTGGCTGAAACACCAAACAGATCATTGCAGCATCCCATAATCCCCTCTGTTTCAGCCCTGTTTCAAAAGTGCTGATTCTCTGTCTGTTACTTCAGATGAAAATAAGGAGCCACTCCCCACGCAGAGATATTTGGTTAAAAAGAACACAATAGCCGCTTTCACACCAAGTACTTTGCCGTACTTAGTTCCCAGCACTTAGTTCCCCCATGGAACTAAAGAGCAGATCGCGTTCACACCGGAATAAGTTCCCTGAGGGAAGATTACGCAAATGAAGCCGCTGACGTCACTTCTTCTTCTTCTGCTGCTTTGGGTTTACTGGCAGGCCGCAAACAACTTCACGGCGTATACTGCCACCCGAAGTCCCCGGCCGGAAGTCCCCGGAGTTGGGGACTGGCTTCAGTAGAAGCTGCTGGGACTCCCATAACTGCCATAAGTTAGTCTCTCTCCGTTGGTGCTAATGCTAATAATGCTAATGCCAGCAAATACAATGACGGCTTCAAAAAACCTCTCCGAGTTTTACGGGGCGTGGTTTGCAATCCGCCCAGCCAATCAGAAATTGGAACTTTTTTCTCCCCAGGAAAGTACCACCTCTCTAGCAGGGACGGAAAAGGGGGGAAAAGTTCTCATGAACTAAGTTCTCTTTTTGGTGTGAACGCAAAACTCCAGGCACTAAACGGGAAAGGTACTCCGGTGTGAACGCGCCTAATGGTGCTCTAGGAGGAGATTCAGGTGATAAGGTGGGGGGGGGGTTACCTTGGTTGGTGATTGGCTAATGGTTACACAAGACAAAACATCGTTATGACATCATGAAGTGGCCAAAATCTGATCAGCTCATTTTCAGACAGGTTTTTATATAAATGGATCAGGACAAAAAGAGAGAGAATCTTTGTTCCTGAAACTTTCAGAGTCTCTTTCCACAGAGGGGACACATGTTGATGAAGAAGAGACATGAAGAAGAGGGGACACATGTTGATGTAGAAGAGACATGAAGAAGAGGGGACACATGTTGATGTAGAAGAGACATGAAGAAGAGGGGACACATGTTGATGTAGAAGAGACATGGAGAAGAGGGGACACATGTTGATGTAGAAGAGACATGAAGAAGAGGGGACACATGTTGATGTAGGAGAGACATGGAGAAGAGGGGACACATGTTGATGTAGAAGAGACATGAAGAAGAGGGGACACATGTTGATGTAGAAGAGACATGAAGAAGAGAGGACACATGTTGATGTAGGAGAGACATGGAGAAGAGGGGACACATGTTGATGTAGAAGAGACATGAAGAAGAGGGGACACATGTTGATGTAGAAGAGACATGAAGAAGAGGGGACACATGTTGATGTAGAAGAGACATGAAGAAGAGGGGACACATGTTGATGTAGAAGAGACATGAAGAAGAGGGGACACATGTTGATGTAGAAGAGACATGAAGAAGAGGGGACACATGTTGATGTAGAAGAGACATGAACAAGAGGAGACACATGTTGATGTAGAAGAGACATGAAGAAGAGGGGACACATGTTGATGTAGAAGAGACATGAAGAAGAGGGGACACATGTTGATGTAGAAGAGACATGAAGAAGAGGGGACACATGTTGATGTAGAAGAGACATGAAGAAGTGGATTTTGCATAATAGGTCCCCTTTAAGTTTCAAACAACAAGAAAGTAATAACAGAAAACCTGGATGCATCTGAGCTTTTCCCCCGAATTGATTTGACCAAGAACAGTGAGAACAAAGTGCTATAAGCGACGCACTGATAGAAAACGTTAAAACCAACATTGTCTCGCATTTCCTACAAACAAAAGGCTCTTAAATAGCATTTAATAGAAATGAAGAGGAGGAAGGGAACACCTTTCCTGAGGAGGAAGGAGCGGAGGGGTCCAGGCTCACAGAGCAGGAGAAGTTACTGGAGGAGGGGGGGTCTTCAGAGAGAGGATTCATAGGGAGCGAGGCCTCGTCTAAACAGAGCGCCTTCATCTGCAGCAGGCTGGACGAGGCCGGGATCCGACAAGACCTGAGGGAAGATATAACAGAACGAGGACGAAGTGAAGCGTGGGGATGACTGGGAATTCAACACCTTAAACCTGACTGTAAAGACACACTTATATATTTGACCACCACAGAGCCACAGGTGGTCTTTCCTCCCAGTGGCCATCAAACTCTTATACATGACACTTGTTACCTGTCGTTGGAGGTGTTGCTGGGGGGTTGGGGGCTGCTCTTTGAGTTCTTTAAAAAAGCCTGGGAATCATCCTCGGATGTAATGGGTCGGGGTCTCTGTCCGATGCCTGTGGGCTGCAGCAGGCCGGCCCCCTGCTCCTCTGCACCCAAAACCTGAGGGGAAATCAGTGTGAGATTGTTAGGAAAATCTCACTGGTCCCCGGCTTGAGCTTCAATCTCAGGATCCATGTATTTATGATCCTCTCAAGAATGGAAGTAGTCATCACATACAGAGCATCAACTAGTTCCTGAGCAGTGTCCTTCACATGCTGATATCCAAGAGAGGGAATACCGGTTCTTGTAGATCAAGGGTGTCAAACTCAAATACACAGTGGGCCAAAATTAAAAAAAGGGTACTAGTCGAGGGCCGGACTGGTTCAATGTTTATTGCAAAACTTATTGAAATGAACTTATTGCACATATTAAACCTGGAACTAACAAAGCTTAAATTATTGCCTATTAAACAACATTAAACATTAAATAATCAGTTGCAGTCATTTCTTATGATTACATTTTTCCACAGGCCAACAACAGCTTCAAAAAAACTATTTCCCTCAAAGAGAAAACCAAACATGCCCTGTTGTCGCAAGAAAAGGAAACATCCATGTAAACTCAGTGTGCTGCTCTGTGATGCTAGTTCAAGCCAGATACTTGGCATCTCATCTTGGGTGCAAGTTCATCAATGTTTGGGCTCAGGCTCTGAGCTGAGGAGACCCTCAGGATGGAGTGAAGGTGTGCGTGCAATATACCGGCGGGCCAGATCTAATAGTAATTACAAATTATCCTGCGGGCCGAAATTAAATCCACCAAGGGCCTGATTTGGCCCCCGGGCCTTGAGTTTGACACATGTGTTGTAGGTAATAATAAATCCCGTCATGTACAAAATACTGACTTTTTAAAAAAATCTCAAAATTCTACTTTTTCAGAAAATTTTGACTTTTTCAAAAAAAAATTGCAGGAAATTCTGGATTTTTCTTAAAAAAAAAAAATGACAAAAATCTCAACATTTTCTCAAAATGTCAAAATTCTGACTTTTTCAATTTTCTTTTGACTTTTCAGAAAATTATGATTTTTTTTCTCAAAATCAAAAAATTCTGACTTTTTCTCAAAATCTAAAAATTCTGACTTTTTACTCAAAATCTCAAACAGTGTCCTTCACATGCTGATATCCAAGAGAGGGAGTTACAGTCACAAGATGGAGGAATAGAAAGCAGTATTCAATGTTTACTTCAGATTAGCTCCACGTCAGAAATGATCATGCTTGTCATATGTCTATCTCCATAGAGGCTGAATCATCATGTTAATCACATAGCTATCATATGCCTCAAACAGTCCTGATGCTCTTCTAGGTAATCAAACATCCTGTCATGTACACATCATGGAAACACTCAAAGTTAAAGCTCATGGATGAACAAGGCAGGGAACTTCTCAAAGACTTCCCAACATATTTGAAATACTGTATATTCCCATGTCAAGTCCAAACATGCTCTATTCATTTTCATTCTGATTTATGGTGAGAAGACTGGTTTAGAAATAGTTTAATAGTTCACTCATGTACGGACCTGTAGTGTGTTTCATGATCCAGATGTATAGCCAGACACCCTTATATATACTATTTGTTATGTTCTTTCCCACTACGACTATGTGTGTCATTAAGTATGGCATTCCTGTCATGCTATGTTTTTTCTTTATTATTTCTTGTTGGCTGTTCTGTCTGTCTTCTATGTTGAAAAAGGGAAGCATGATTTCCACCCCAAAGCAGTCTGTACTATTGATTACACTTCTATTGATTACACCTGTATGCTTCTTCTCAATACAGATATTTGAAACAGATGTATAGCCAGAAATACATTGTAACTACCACAATGTTTACTGTAAATTAACCACCAATTATTGACCAATAAATCAACCTGTAACCCATTTTTTAAAGCATATTTCATATATTTTGATAGGCTTATTATTTTTAACATGTCATTTAGAGGATGTTTTTAACCAAAGTGACTAACATTTACACTTCAATACCCTAGACTACATACAGTACGGGAGCAATAGGAAGGGTTTATTTCAAGCTTGTTATGGAAATAAGTCATTGGGCTTTTTTCTTATCAACTAAGATATGTTGGAAAATGTTTCCAACTTGAATTGACTGATTTGAAAAGTGGTTTCATTAACACATGAATACTACTGTGTGATATATGTTTACATTTATATTTAAGAAGTACAATACAAGACAAGCTCAAGTTTCATTTGTGGGCCGTATTACATTATACTTTTTGAATTTGCTGAGGTCCGATTAAAAAAGGACCGTAGTTTGGACACCCCCTGATCTATTATGTTGTTAGTGTTGTTACTTCCTGTGAAACCCAAGCTCCTTAGAGGAAGAAGAAAAGAGAACAGGACGTACTGAAACCAGGGTCCGGATGATCGCCTCGTCTTGCTGAGTCCAGGGCTTCGAAGGACATCGGATCCTCTTGATGAACAAGTTCTGCCACTTCTGCCTCAGTTCAAACACCGCGCCTGCAGCCTGATATAACATACACAACATGTCAGTAAGAACATCTATAAATATATACAAGTCAGGGAGGAAACAGACAGAAATAAGAGAACATTTTTGTAACAACAATTTCCTTTGGGATAAATAAAGTCTTATCTTAACATTGATTTGGATGATCCAAACTGAGAGGTAACTATTTTGAATATTTAGGGGGAAAGACTGTATACTGTATATACACGGCAAAGACAGAAAGTATACTGGAAAATCAAGTACACACTAGTTAGCCGACCCGAGAGACATTATGTTTCTATATGGAAACAACAATTCAGAGAAATCTACTCTCAATTATGTAAAGCAGGATTAACAGTTTCAAGTTTTCATTACTGTCAATTTGTTCATTTTCTCTTATTTGGGGTCTCAAGCGAAACGTTTTTGTAACCAGACATAGAACATATGTTGTCGTATGAGGTAAAATCCCATCATTCATAAAGAAATGATTGAACTGGTCACCTCGCTGTCCAGCTGGAAGATGAGCCAGTCGTCCAGGCTGAACTCAGAGAGCTCCTCCGTCTCACTGTCGCTGTTCTCCTGAAAACTGTCTGCAGGAAACCACACGGAGACACAGAGGAACTTCAGAGGCATGCTACCAAATCAACAGAAAACACAACCATTGCACTGAAAGAGGAGACTGGGGTGCAGATTCTGCTCTGGTCAGGGAAGATTCTGGAGAGGTCGCTCATCCAGCCTGCATTTGATTTATGGACTTAGAGAGAGGCTCTTCATCCTCAGAGTACTCTGTTGGTAGGACTGTGGCAATACGGTTGAGCCAAGAATTACTCTATTACCCCTTTGCCATTGAAAATCAGTTCGGCAACAATAACACACTGCTGGCCATGACGGAACATTTCTTGCAGTAGACAGTAAAGCAGAGTTTCAGACAGTGACTAACAGAGAGGGCAAAAGTACACACTTCCTTTCCTCAAGTAGAAGTACAGATACTCGTGTTTAAAAATACTCTGGTAAAAGTAGAAGTACTGACTAAACTTCTTTACTCAAGTCAAAGTAAAGAGGGCTTTGAAATGTACTTCAGTAAAAAGTACCCATAACTAGCAGCTGTTTTAAAGAGTACCTGACCTCCCTTTATATTAATAGAACAATAATGTCATTGTTAGCTAATGAATGTTTCCATGCTGAACAACGGCAACATGACAACGTTTTCATTGGTCCCTCTTCTTTAGAGAAGACCAGGAAATGATGGATACACGGATCGTGTTCAAATCAATAGGCACGCAATGACTCTAAATAATAATGATCACGCCACCAAACACACATTCAAACTAAAGGAACCAGCCTGTTTGGAAAATGTGAGAAGTAGAAAGTACAGGTATTTGTGTTCAACATGTAAGAAGTAGAAAGTACAGGTATTTGGGTTCAAAATGGAAGAAGTAGAAAGTACAGGTATTTGTGTTCAAAATGTAAGAAGTAGAAAGTTCAGGTATTAGTGTTCAAAATGTAAGAAGTAGAAAGTACAGGTATTTGTGTTCAAAATGTAAGAAGTAGAAAGTACAGGTATTTATGTTCAACATGTAAGAAGTAGAAAGTACAGGTATTTGTGTTCAACATGTAAGAAGTAGAAAGTACAGGTATTTGTGTTCAACATGTAAGAAGTCAAAGTAAAAAGTCGTCAGAAAAATAAGTAGTGGAGTAAAGTACTGATACCAGAAAAATTAACTTAAGTACAGTAACGAAGTATTTGTACTCCACTACTTCCCAGCTCTGGTGACTAAGCCTGTGTTGCTAGCATGATGAATTCATTCAGGATGTTTGAATAGTTTACCTCTCGGTGCAGACGGCTCCTGCAGGGCGGAGCTGGGCAGTTTGGCGCAGCCTCCAAAGATGGCCACGGTGATGGGAGTGACCATGGAGCAGCAGCGCACACTCGCCATCCTGTGACCCCGACTCATCTCATCGTAGATCAGCCAGTCTGTGGGGAGGGCCTGGGGAGGGCCTCTGGATGGGCCGTTCTGCGCACGCACACACACACACACACACACACACACACACACACACACACACACACACACACACACACACACACACACACACACACACACAACACACACTACACACACACACACACACACACACACACACACACACACCACACACACAACACACACACACACACACAACACACACACACACACACACACACACACACACACACACACACACACACACACACACCACACACACACACACACCACACACACACACACACACACACACACACACACACACACACACACACAACACACACACACACACACACACACACCACACACACACCCACACACACACACACACACACACACACACACACAGGTTTAGGTTATATCCATAATAAGGAGAGGAGTGGTTCCTAACCCTTTAGCTAAAAAAAAATTGCAGTCCCTAATCTTTCTACGTACCCCCTGCAATCCCCTCAAGTATCCCTGTACTTTATATATGAATTCCTCTAAAAGATCCTGTATCCTAGTGTCTTAAGTTTGACTCTCCCTCCAGACTGTATTGGTGTTGCCAGGGCTGATAATAGAAGACAGAACTAGACCGTTATTTCTAATTTACTCTAAACATTGTCTGATGTTTCTCTTTGCCACCGCTGTCAACTCAACACAACCTCTGCCAGTTCACGTTAAAAGCCTACATGTAACTGGACAATTTACGTGTAGCTGTATTTTTCAAAAAGCTTGAAACAAAACGAAATGTCCTTTCTGAACATCTACATATGGGTTAATAATGTGTGCGATAACCAGTCTTGGTTCCCTCCTGGATGAAGTATAGTGGCTAAAAAGTGGGTTTAGATTCCTCAAAATGTCAAAGACATAATAGCATATTTAAGACATTTAGTTTTTTCCAAACCTCCTTGAGCTGGGACTGGTTGAGGATGGATGAGGGGTGGAAGTGGACCTTCTTCTCCCTGTAGCTGGAGGGCAGGGAGGTCTCCTGGTTCACGTGCACCAGGTTTGGGTACATGCCGGCCACCAGAGCCGCCTTCACCATGGCCCAGTTCTCAGAGTTCAGGTTCACATCTCGGATATCACTTCCTCCACGCGCTCGCACGAAACCTAGAAAACAAACAGACACTCTTAAATTCAGTCTTTGTGCTGATCATGTGCTGAGAACTCGATTGTACATTGATATGAATACTGAAGGCTTCTAAGTAAACACAAAATGAAAGTGGAACTGACCGATGGCCCTCAGTTGTCCCAGTAGCTGTGTCCTCATTCCCAGGATCATGTCCATGGTGGCCTGGGACAGGAAGTTCTTCTCACAGAAGGATCTCTCCCAGCCGTCACTACGGGCCTTCTGCCATGCCTGAGACAGGACAGAAGGAAATGGTTGGGGTGAGAGACAATGTTGTTGGTGTTACTATGTTGTTATGGTAGGCTGACGTCTTCCCTACTTCTTATATTTAGTCTCGTTTAAAAACTAAAAGGCAGAGGTGGGAAGTAGTGGAGTACAATGGTGCTCTAGGAGGAGATTCAGGTGATAAGGTGGGGGGGGGGGGGTTACCTTGGTTGCTGATTGGCTAATGGTTACACCATCCAAGAAATCGTTATGACATCATAAAGTGGCCAAAATCGGGTTTTTATAGAAATGGATCAGGACAAAAAGAGAGAGAATCTTTTTTCCTGAAACTTTCAGAGTCTCTTTGCACAGAGGGGACACATGTTGATGAAGAAGAGACATGAAGAAGAGGGGACACATGTTGATGAAGAAGAGACATGAAGAAGAGGGGACACATGTTGATGTAGAAGAGACATGAAGAAGAGGGGACACATGTTGATGAAGAAGAGACATGAAGAAGAGGGGACACATGTTGATGTAGAAGAGACATGAAGAAGAGGGGACACATGTTGATGTAGAAGAGACATGAAGAAGAGGGGACACATGTTGATGTAGAAGAGACATGAAGAAGAGGGGACACATGTTGATGTAGAAGAGACATGAAGAAGAGGGGACACATGTTGATGTAGAAGAGACATGAAGAAGAGGGGACACATGTTGATGTAGAAGAGACATGAAGAAGAGGGGACACATGTTGATGTAGAAGAGACATGGAGAAGAGGGGACACATGTTGATGTAGAAGAGACATGAACAAGTGGATTTTGCACAATAGGTGACCTTTAAAGAAACACATCTTATATTCCCCCACCCACCTGGAAGGCTCTCAGCAGAGCCATGTGGTCGCTGAAGGTGTTGGCGGTGAAGCGTTTGCGGCACTCAATAGCAGCTTTCTTCTGCCCCCCCTGTGCAGGGAGGACGAAGGGGTCTCGGTAGGCCAGCGTACAGGCGATGGTGAGGATGGGGTCCAGACACTTCAGCACCACAGCACACAGAACCATCTTTCCCAGGTGAGGCTCCACAGGTAGATCCGCCAGGTGGTAGCCCAGATCTGTGAGGTCTTCATTCTGGTCCATAGCGTCTATTGTCTGGTGGGAAACAATGCAAACTCAATAATAATAATAATATATTGCATTTTGACAGCGCTTTTCCCAGTGCTCAAAGATGCTTTACATAAAATCAGAAACAGAAACAGTACAAAGAAAACAAATGGTAATAATGGAAAATCAGTGACTGTGTGTTGCTGCAATAGTGAGAATACTTCATGTGGATGAGTAGGGAGTGATGTGGCTCCTACAGTGAGTTTATACCGGTGTTGACATCCCATTTGTCACAACGTGTATAGTCAGAGAACAGTGACATACAGTGGAGTAAGTATTTGACCCCCATTTTGTAAGTTTGCCCACTTACAAATAAATTAAGAGTCTATCATTGTAATGGTAGGTTTATTATCTATCAAGGTGTTTGACCGAAAGCCAAATTCATACCACCACCTTGAAAAACACAATTTCTTAGGTTTTGACAATTTTAAGTCTTTTAAAAGTATGTGCTTTATTTATAAATGTTTACATGGACTGCCCCCCCCCCCCCTCCCTCCCTTAGGGGAATTCATCCACAAAAAACACACTGGACGCTGCACTAGGTCAGACACCAGAGGAGACTGTGAAGTCCACCGCAGACGGACCACTTTTGGACAAAATGTCCTCTCCGTTAAAGGCAGCTCCTTGTGGAACAGCCTCCCAACTGAGATACGGGATTGTCCCACCCTCAATAGCTTCAAAGGTCAACTCAAAGAATGGTTGAGAAACAAACAGACGTGCTATCACCGCTAAATGCACTTTAACACAGGGGTATCTCCTCTTGCACTTTAACACAGGGGTATCTCCTCTTGCACTTTAACACAGGGGTATCTCCTCTTGCACTTTAACACAGGGGTATCTCCTCTTGCACTTTACATGTCGTTGCTGCTATATTGTATCACCATGTCATAAATACCTGTGTATGCTGCTTTTTTGCACTTTTTACATATCATGTATTTTGTTTTTGCTATGTTTGTAAAATGTAAACTTCTTAAATGTTTTATGTGAGGGACTGCGGGTGGAAATTAGCTCAAAGCTAAATCTGGCACTGTTACGCTTGACACATTTGAATGTTTGAAGTGTTCATTACTGTGCATTGTCCCTGCCAAATAAACGATTAAAAAAGAAATAAGAATCAATCAATCAATCAATCAGTTTCCATCCTCTCCACCATGGGCAAGACTAAAGAGCTCTCTAAAGACCTCGGAGACATGATTGTCCCTGTCACCCTCTGATGACTGCAAAAGGCTGGAAAGCAGTCTTATAGATTGTTAATTTCTTTGTAAGTGGGCTAAACTTACAAAACCTGCAAGGGATCAAATACGTATTTCCTCCACAAGCAGTATTTGTTAGCATGTGTTACCTTTAGCATCTGCACAGCGTTCCTGATGGCGTGTGCAGACGGAGGTTGAGGAGCTTTGGACAGGAAGTCAGCGACAGGACAGGAGGAGGGGGCCAGCAGCTTGGTCTGCAGACACAGCTCCTGAAACACAACATGGAAGCATTCATCAATACTACAGGATTTTAGTAGTACACTGCATTTACTGCAATAAATACATGGTTTAAAGGCAGCAGATTGACTTGCTCCAGGAACAGACATGGCTCTAAGATGTCTACTATATTTTTTAAATGTTTAATTAGTACAGACAATTAATGAAACCATCAATCAAACAAGATAAGTAGAAGCAGGAGGGCAGAAAGCATACTGTAGCTGATAAAGAAAATAGCTGATAGTCCTCCAGATTCAGGATTACAAAATAATAAATAAATCAGTATATAAATACACACACAAATAAACAAAATCCTATATATACATACATTCTTGTTTGCATACAAAACTAATCTGAGAAACCTACTTTCATTGTCTTAAATTATTATGTTTACGGTCATATTTCTGTGGTATTTTAAACAAGTTTCAGTAAATTATGTCGAGTAAAAAAAAATGTGTGTGTGTGTGTGTGTGTGTGTGTGTGTGTGTGTGTGTGTGTGTGTGTGTGTGTGTGTGTGTGTGTGTATACCTGCAGAGGCATCCTCAGCAGCTGTGGAACCTGGAACTCCAGCATGTTGCTGAACCTGAGGCGACTGAAGAGGTGGAAACAGATCCCAGGTCTGCAGCGCCCCGCTCTGTGGACACGTCAACTTTGGGTTAACATTAAAGGTCCCCTATTATACTGTCTTACATCAATATATCACAGGTCTCAGATATACACAGAACCTGTCTCTGATTGGCTGAAACACCAAACAGATCATTGCAGCATCCCATAATCCCCTCTGTTTCAGCCCTGTTTCCAAAGTGCTGATTCTCTGTCTGTTACTTTAGATGAAAATAAGGAGCCCCTCCCCACGCCCCTCTGAGAGAGATTTGGTTAGAAATAACTCAATGGTGCTCTAGGAGGAGATTCAGGTGATAAGGTGGGGGGGGGGGTTACCTTGGTTGGTGATTGGCTAATGGTTACACAAGACAAAACATCGTTATGACATCATAAAGTGGCCAAAATCTGATCAGCTCATTTTCAGACAAGTTTTTATATAAATGGATCAGGACAAAAAGAGAGAATCTTTGTTCCTGAAACTTTCAGAGTCTCTTTCCACAGAGGGGACACATGTTGATGTAGAAGAGACATGAAGAAGAGGGGACACATGTTGATGTAGAAGAGACATGAAGAAGAGGGGACACGTGTTGATGTAGAAGAGACATGAAGAAGAGGGGACACGTGTTGATGTAGAAGAGACATGAGGAAGAGGGGACACATGTTGATGTAGAAGAGACATGAAGAAGAGGGGACACATGTTGATGTAGAAGAGACATGAAGAAGAGGGGACACATGTTGATGGAGAAGAGACATGAAGAAGAGGGGACACGTGTTGATGTAGAAGAGACATGAAGAAGAGGGGACACGTGTTGATGTAGAAGAGACATGAAGAAGAGGGGACACATGTTGATGTAGAAGAGACATGAAGAAGAGGGGACACATGTTGATGAAGAAGAGACATGGAGAAGAGGGGACACATGTTGATGAAGAAGAGACATGAAGAAGAGGGGACACATGTTGATGTAGAAGAGACATGAAGAAGAGGGGACACATGTTGATGTAGAAGAGACATGAAGAAGAGGGGACACATGTTGATGTAGAAGAGACATGAAGAAGAGGGGACACATGTTGATGTAGAAGAGACATGAAGAAGAGGGGACACATGTTGATGTAGAAGAGACATGAAGAAGAGGGGACACATGTTGATGTAGAAGAGACATGAAGAAGAGGGGACACATGTTGATGTAGAAGAGACATGAAGAAGAGGGGACACGTGTTGATGTAGAAGAGACATGAAGAAGAGGGGACACGTGTTGATGTAGAAGAGACATGAGGAAGAGGGGACACATGTTGATGTAGAAGAGACATGAAGAAGAGGGGACACATGTTGATGTAGAAGAGACATGAAGAAGAGGGGACACATGTTAATGTAGAAGAGACATGAAGAAGAGGGGACACATGTTGATGGAGAAGAGACATGAAGAAGAGGGGACACGTGTTGATGTAGAAGAGACATGAAGAAGAGGGGACACGTGTTGATGTAGAAGAGACATGAAGAAGAGGGGACACATGTTGATGTAGAAGAGACATGAAGAAGAGGGGACACATGTTGATGAAGAAGAGACATGGAGAAGAGGGGACACATGTTGATGAAGAAGAGACATGAAGAAGAGGGGACACATGTTGATGTAGAAGAGACATGAAGAAGAGGGGACACATGTTGATGTAGAAGAGACATGAAGAAGAGGGGACACATGTTGATGTAGAAGAGACATGAAGAAGAGGGGACACATGTTGATGTAGAAGAGACATGAAGAAGAGGGGACACATGTTGATGTAGAAGAGACATGAAGAAGAGGGGACACATGTTGATGTAGAAGAGACATGAAGAAAAGGGGACACATGTTGATGTAGAAGAGACATGAAGAAGAGGGGACACATGTTGATGTAGAAGAGACATGAAGAAGAGGGGACACATGTTGATGAAGAAGAGACATGGAGAAGAGGGGACACATGTTGATGTAGAAGAGACATGAAGAAGAGGGGACACATGTTGATGTAGAAGAGACATGAAGAAGAGGGGACACATGCTGATGTAGAAGAGACATGAAGAAGAGGATTTTGCACAATAGGTGACCTTTAAGTCAATCTCAGATCCCCCAAAACAACACGTCTAAGGGGCCACACCGTCACAATTTAACAAAAACGTTCACGTCAGGTCACAGGCATGATTTATCAGGTGAGATGTAAGGTTTAATATATTTGTTACGTTATTAAAAAGGCTGCATTTGGTTTTATTTGGATCATCGGTTGATGTTACCTTCCCTTCCTTTGCAGAGCGCTGGCTTTTGAGATCCAAACCGTCTTCAACATGGAGACATGACTGAGGGTATCAAAGGACTTCTGCACCAGGAAAAACATCAAGGAGTTCATTACTAACCACATCATTCAAATATGTCTTTAGACGTCATGTTACTCTTGTATTGTGAATAGTTTCGTCAGCAGTAACTGTACCTCTTTGACCTTTCCTGAATCAATGACGAAAATCACATCGTTGATGGTGATGCTCGTCTCAGCTATGTTAGTGGAGAGGATCTGAAAGGAGAAACAAGACCACATATTAACATAAGATGTACTTTATTGATGCCAATTTGGGTAGTAGGGTACAGAAACAGAGTATTTGAGGTAGTAGGGTACAGAAACAGAGTATTTGGGGTAGTAGGGTTCAGTAACAGAGTATCTGAGGTAGTAGGGTTCAGTAACTAGAGTATTTGAGGTAGTAGGGTACAGTAACAGAGTATTTGAGGTAGTAGGGTTCAGTAACTAGAGTATTTGAGGTAGTAGGGTACAGAAACAGAGTATTTGGGGTAGTAGGGTACAGTAACTAGAGTATTTGAGGTAGTAGGGTACAGTAACTGGAGTGAAGGTACAGTTAACCAGTCAAGATGCTGCAGACCTGTGTTACTCTTGAATTAAATATATATTAGGGACGTCAGAGACTCACTATCTTCCTGATCCCAGGTGGAGAGGGCTTCATGGCTTTCCTCTGATCCAGGGTCTGCATGTCTGAATGTAGAGTGAACACCTGGAACCTGAGAGACAACACTTCAGTCAGAAACACACAACAAAACACCGTGCTAACGCTACACTGACCACATGCCAAACAAATGTATAAATACTTAAGGAATGCTGTATTTATCTACATATTACATTACCATTAATGAACATCTTAAAGGTCACCTATCAAGTCATTTTTAGGAATAGAGAGAAGGTTGTATTTTCTGACACTTTGTGAGTTCCCTGACACACCGGGGACACATGTTTATGTATAAAAAACATTACTGAAAACCAAACAGTGCTGTAGATATTGCATGATGTTCAAAAGTCTTCCATTCTTTTTAAAGTATAAGTTCACCTGTCAGAGTGGATCGTGAATCTCTTGTCGTCGTACAGGAGGCGGTCCCTGAGTGACACGATGTCATCGTATCCAGGAAGAAAAACAAGGAGAGCACCTGGAGAGCAACAGGAAAAAGTTATTAGAAAATCCTGAACGGCATTCCCTGAAATCTGCAAATCAAGCAGGCAGTGATCCTTCTCTGGTTGCCATGAAATAAACGTATAGGCCGACCCGGAAGTAAGCGGCTGGTTCCCTCGACAAAAAAGCAACGGGATTACTCCATAGGATTTTGGAATATTGTAAAAAATAAGATCTGTGGAAAAGGAACCTGTTTGATAAATGCACGTTTTGTTCATCCGGATAATCTCCACACGTCGACCCTACTTTTATCATTTTTGAATCAGAAATCTAATCGCCAGAAGCAAAATGCTAACGTTATGCTCTAAAGCCACTGGTGGTCCGTGAGCGCCCCCTAGTGGTCCGTGGGTATATTGGTAAAATGTCACATTTGAAATGAATAAATACATTTGAGTTTTCCGCACTCTCGCGGGAATATCTCCGCAATGAAGCAAGCTTAAGTTTCACTTTCAATAGCATGATATAGCCCAGCGCAACACCTTCATCACACATGTTGCCACTTGTTTTGACCATTTTCAGGCGATTTGTATAATCTGTTCTAAAAAAACGATGTGATTTTGGATATTTGTGGAGTTAGGTGGTCCTTGGTATGAAAACGTTTGAGAAACACTGCTCTAAAGGAACTACAGCCGAGTTCAGCAGCACGACTTCAACGTCACGCCAACTTAAGATCGATATTAAAAAACACAGATTCTAAATGGTACAAGTTGAAGCGTTTGTTTGAACAGTTTGCAGGAGTCAGGTACTTGGAGGAGTGTTTACGTGTTCGGCGTAATGACGTATAACAGCCTCCACCACGTCTGTAGTCCTATTCAGCCACTTGGTAACAACCATCGTTTTTCAGACACGTCAACTCTTCAGAAATCACCAGTGGGGTCACTGCTGATGGATTTAATGTCGTAGAACAAAACGTGATCCGTCTCTTCAATTTGTGTCAACCACAGACCTTATTTCGAGCTATATAATATATAAGTTAGTTTGCCCTGTTCTGCTTGAAAGCAAGTACCTGCCTCCTGCAAACTGTTCAAACAAACGCTTCAACTTGTACAATTTAGAATCTGTGTTTTTGAATATGGATCTTAAGTTGGCGTGACGTTGAAGTCCTGCTGCTGAAATGCCTGAATTTATCAAACAGGTTCGTTTTCCACAGATCTTATTTTTTCCAATATTCCAAAATCCTATGGAGAAATCCCGTTGCTTTTTGCCGAGGGAACCAGCCGCTTACTTCTGGGTCTGCCTACAGAAATACGTCATCACTGCACGACTCAATAGGAAGCTAAATGTGAAGGTGCCGAGGCTCACCTTCACTGGTGGTGGAGCAGATGTTGTGCATCAGATCCATGATGAGGTCCAGGTCCACGAAGTCATCATCAAAGCTGTGGTGGTAGAGTTTGAGCAGCTCCTGCTCTTCAGGGCCGATCTCTGCGGCGTGATGATGAACCAGAGAGGATTCATCCTGACTGCTCACCTCTCCCAGAGGACTGGCAACGAGACGCAAGATTAGCACTTTATAAAAACCCTCTAAAACAATATATGATGATTGGAGTTCAGGAGGTGTTTAAATATAACAAATGTCACCTTTAAGAAGAGTTGAAGCATGAATAATTAAAGATGAGTCCCCCCTTACTGTATTTACATCTTCATAATGGAGCAATCATTTTCACATAAATTCAAATGACAGGGAAAACTGTGCTATTCCAAATGTATGTTCATCATAAGTAAACCTTCACACTGAGCATTCAGGACAACTTCTAATGTATGGTGATCAACAGAACCAAAAAGAACAACATAGTAACTCTCTCTTTGTTCATTGAGGTTTAAAATGACACTCACATGGAAGATTTGAGTAGATCCATAGCCTCCGTCTGCTGGAAGTGTGTGGCAAAGTCTAACCCTGTCCTGAAATGAAATGAAAACACACACACATGCATTTAAAGCACACACTTGTGCCAAACAGCTTGATGTTGAGTGAAATTGTGATAAACTGTTCTGCTTGGTAACATAACATGGTGGGTGTCCTACCAGCCGTTGGAGGCCTTCAGGTTGATGTCGGCCCCCATGTTGAGAAGCTGCTCCATCTGAGGGAGGAAGCCTCGTCCGGCTGCCACCATCAGAGCCGAGGAGCCGGTGTCACTGTGCCGGTAGTCCACTGCGGCAAGGAGAACAACCGTGAGGAAAAGCTAGTTTTTGAAAATATCTGCTTCATGGAGTTTTTGAAAAGGATTCTTATTGTTGGGAAAATACTGAATGTACTCTTCCAATATCAGAGTACACATGATAACAAAGGTATCCCAACTGTAGCTGTGTACATGACAGGATGTATGATTACCTAGAAAAAATCTGAATTTTGAGGAAAAAGTCAGAATTTTGTGAAAGTTAGGATTTTGAGAAAAAAGTCAACATTTTGGAAGAAAGTCAGAATTTTGAGAGAAAAGCCAACATTTTGAGAAAAAAAACTCAGTGTTTTGTACATGACAAGATTTACGATTACCTACAAGAACCGGTATTCCTCCATCTTGGTATTCAGAAAAGTCAGAATTTTGAGATTTTGAGAAAAAAGTCAACATTTTTAGATTCTTAGAAATAGGTCAGCATTTTGAGAAAAAATACATAATTTTGAGATTTTGCTGACCTGTGTTTATTTAACACAAGATAAAAGACCATTATATACTACAGCAACAGAGATATAGACTACAGTAGTTAGAGGTATTGAGCCCTGAGTCGTACCGTTCACATTCTCATAGAGGATGAGGTTGAAGAGCTGAATGAAAGCGTCCTGGTCTTCGTTCAGGAAGATGTTTGTAATGCACGAGTCCATTTCCTTCAGCAGCCACGGAACCAGCTGCTCGGTGTCGTTCTCCATCTGAGACGCAAAACAAAAATCACACATCATCACTCAGACATATAGGGAGAGAATACAAAGTTCAGGGCAATGTTGAAACTGCTGTGGAGCTCAATAAAGGACACATTTAATTATCGATCCGGTCCTTTAACGGTACTCTCATCGGTTCTTTTGGAAGAAAAAAAAGGTAAATTAACTAAACAAATTGTAAATAATGTGAACTTATAGAACTGTAAAAAACAAACAAAAAACAAGTATTTACTCATACTGCATAAATACAGTGGTACAGAGCAGCACAGGTGGGGCAGACAGGTATGCTGCAAAAAGGCCTAACGGTTCTTCTGGAGGAAGATTGAGGTATACACAACACCTGACGTGGAAACGTTACTCGTGGATGGGGCTACAGAGCTACCAGAAAGACAGTCGAACCCGGTGCATTGCTCCGTCTGGATGTGGAGCACTTTTACAAGATGTTTAGACTAATTACTCGTGTTACCGCCCTTACATGCTAAACTCTTAGTGCACTTTTGGTAACGAGCATTGTCCACGAGACGGGTAAAGTTTAACCACACCACGGAGTGCTGTCTGTGTGTGTGTGTGTGTGTGCGTGCGTGCGTGCGTGTGTGTGTGCGTGCGTGCGTGCGTGTGTGTTACCGGCTTGTTGTCCAGGAAGGCAGGTACAGAAACAGGACTCATGCGTCTCTCCTCCACACAGCTGCTCTCCACCGCCTCGCACCACTCCTTCAAGTTCTTCTGCTTCTTCTCCTCTGAGGATGGGATGCACAGGAGGTTAAGATGAAGCCAGGATGCATTTTTCAATCATCAAATAACTAATTCTTCATACTTCTCTGTGTCTCTTCCTTGTATTTCTTCATGTCCTTGTTGTTGAAGCCCGTCAGCCGCAGGATGTCCTCCAGGAAGAGTTCCTTCACTTCAAACAGTCGTCCTTTCACTAAATATGAAACACATTTATTAACATCAGATTTCACCTCAACTTGTGGAAAGACTGAATTTCCATCATATCAGTTAATTATCTTTGTATCTCTCATAAACATTTTTCTAATTTGAGTAAAGAAGTTGAGTCAGTACTTCTGCTTTCACCAGAGTATTTTTAAACACGAGTATCTGTACTTCTACTTGAGTAAAGGATGTGTGTACGTTTGCCCTCTCTGGGTTCAAACCCCGCTTCAGCCGGACTTACGGTGGATGATAGGGCAGGATCCGAAGTACTTTAGAAACAGGTCTACGTCCAGAGCGGCGCTGGAGAGGATCAGCTTCAGCGAGGGGATCTTCTGAAGAACATCTCGCAACTTAGTGAGCAGGAAGTCAGTCAGACCGTCTCGCTCGTGCACCTCGTCCTGTTAGAACAAAGCAAGTCACTTTAATATGGAGGCTTTTCTCAGAACGAGAGCCACACTGGGAGCTGAAACACTTTTAAAGAGGAACTGAACATCCCCTGAACATCCTGCAGTGGTTTACCTCTACACCTCTGATGTACTGATGGACTCCAGGGGTGCAGATCATTAGTCTTTTTTATTAAGGAAGGTTCCTAACGTGGTGAAATGACCCTGAAGTTCCTAAGTGTCAGCCATGATAAGAGCTGTTTGGATTCTCTAGATCAGGGATGGCCGCATGTGGCCCCCACCTCCTCTTTTTGCGGCCCTCAGATCAATTTAGCAACAACGTAATTAATTAAAAAATACCGTCCACTAGACTCCTAGTTACGTCGCGAGCTGCATAGATGTCATCTTAATGTTTAATCTTAATGCACACGCATTTTCCGTGCTTTCCAATAGTTTAAAATAGTTTTATTCCACTGTTAAATAACCTGTTCAACACAAACATGCCACTTGTCAAAATTAAATAACCTTTCTGTGAACTGATATTTGTTTAGTGAGCTTATTAGAGGATGTTCCCTGAACGATTGTAAAATGTCAATGAAGATGTCAGACTTAGTATATTTGTTAATAATTACATACAACACATGGAATTTGTGTGTGTGTGTGTGTGTGTGTTCCAAGTGAATCTGCAGCCCCCTGGTGGCCAGTACATAAATGATGTGGCCCCCCACCACCATCCAAGTTGCCCATCCCTGCTCTAGATGAAAGGAAAGGAGCTTCAATGCTTCCTTTGATATCTCCTTTTAGCTTAGGATACATTAGACCAGGGTTTTCAAAAAGAAAGCAAATTAAGACGTCCTTTAATGTCTTCCATGTTTGAATGGTGATGTGCACAGTAACAGATGCATAGGCCTGACCAGTAATGCATATGTCGCATAAAGTGCTATATATACTAATTGGGATTATTTTCAATTAATAAGAGTGGATAGGAGGGTGAGTAAACATTTACTTTACAAACGTTGGTAATGAAGTAATGTATTTTTTACTATTGTCCACGTCCAAGGCGAAGAATCTAGATATTTTAGTAGTCCATCTATGTAAAATTATAGTTTTTCCATGACAGACGCACATCAATAACATCCACTGGTGCATCATAAATATGTCGCCGAGTGTAAGTGGAGTCAGATTCTCTTAGCACCGCCATTTTCTTTCCTGTTCTGATGAATTCTCCTTCACATCGTTCCTTAACCCCATGATGTGTCATACTGTGGTTAAGGAAAGAAATTAGGAAAAGACAGAACCAGATTTTTTGACAATTCGCCCACAACCCAAAACATTGCTTCCCAGTCTCATTACTCTTCAAAGATCATCCCCAGCTTCCTTTCAGTAGCATTACAGGGTGAAGCAGTTTTCTGAGACTGTGGGTTTATGTTTATTTGTTGTCCTAATGCTCACCACGATGACATGTGTGACGTTTGTCAGGCTGGCGTCTCCAGACATCAACGTTCGGAGGAAGACTCCACTGGTGCAAAAGGTCAGCAGTGTCTTGGGGGAGACCCTGGGGGATTACAGTTACAAGTCATTTTCATATAAAGCAGGACAAGGGCTCCTTAAGCTTGCACATGTTTGATAGGAGAGTTACAACAGTTAGCAGGGCCATGCTACACCCACACCTCTCATAATCTTTTAAACCATGAATATGTAAAAAACTGCTGGATTCAGCTATCTGAGAAATGGACTTTGTTCGTCTGTAATCACATGACTACACATTTAGTGCAAGAGTCGCTATATCTTCAAACCTTTGATAATGATGTGTCCTTGCTAGTAAAATGTCACATAACAGGCATGGAAAGCTTCATATTGTGTAAGGCAGAGACGTGTAACAGACTTGTTAAATGCCCAAATCTCTACGAGTGAATACTGTTTGTAAGCTGCTTAAACTAAATCAAGTCGGCTAATTGAGTTGTACAATCTGGAAATACTATTATTTCAATATATTTAAGATAAGTACGCCATAACTTTGAGTCTTTACAATAACAAAAATGGTGAACAGATTGGATGAGAGTACAAATAAGGTAACTTTCTGGTTAAAACTTCCATATATTATCCTGAAAATGTCAGAAATTGAATCAATAACCCTAAAAAAAGTGTCCAAATCATCCAAGTTCTTTTTTTACTATTGTCCCCAAAGGCTATAATGCCAGTGTATGAATGAGAGATACAAAGATAATTAACTGAAAAGTCAGTCTTTCCACAGGTTGAAGGGTCATCTGTGTTGGGGAATCATTTGCCCCGCATGTCCTCCTTCGCCCTCTGACGCAGATGACCAACCTTGAGCAGCCGCTATCTCCCGTAAGGAGGGGCTGCCCGAGCAAGTTGTTGTTACCAGTTTGTGACCGGGCAACTCTCAGTCAGAGATAGTTATTGTTGTGGGACACCTGGAACTAGTGTTGTCACGATACCAACATTTTGGTTTCGATACCAAGTCAAGAATTGCGATTCCGATTCTTTTTCTTTTATTATTTTCATGATCAATAAAATTGTAGTTTATCTGTTAAGTGTTTTCTTACAACATGGTCTCTTCTTTATACTTGAGTTTATGTGATTTCTTTGATAGTTAACTTTATATTTTATTAACATGTAATAGTACAGTAATATAAATAATTATTGACACAATGTACATTGCAGATGTTAGCCACATTGGTAAGTTAGCTAAACAGATAGCCATATTAGACAGTTATCATTGCCATTAATTGCCTCGTCAAACTACGAAAACGTTCGTTTGTCACAAAATAAATGACACTTGTTTGACTTAGATTTGAGGACATGGGCTTGAGCATGATGTAATTATGTTATCTATCACATTCGCTAACCTGTCTGTCTTTAAATTCTTTAAACAGCTCTGGATGCCGGTCGGCGAGGTGCTTAGCCAAGTTTGATGTGTTGGCTCCCTTGGTTTGCAGGGATCTAAAACATGTCTTACATGCCCCTTTCACACCAACGCAACTCCGGTTCAAGCTCCGCTAGAGCTTTTCTGGTTCAGAACCGGTTCTTCGGTTTAGCGCCGGCTCTTTTCACACCGCTCAGAGCCCGACTGGTGCTGCCGCTGCTGCGTCATGACGTCACAGTTTACGTCGCTGAGTTTCTCCCCAACGCCGGAGCTCACTTCACAACAACAACGGGCCGGGGACTGCGTTGCTTTTAATCATACGAAGCCAGATTAAATTAAATAACGACTTCTCCAACCTTATACTTTTCTCCAGAGTGCCGTGGTTCATTGTTTATTAATGTGTTTCAGCGGCATTTACCGACCGCTGCAGTGCTGGCCGGCTGCTCTTCAACGGGAGTGTATTCTCCCGTTAGCTCCGGGTTAGCTCACACGGCTCTAAAGTATTCACTGTCTGACTGTCACACAAGCAGCTGATACATATCCCCAGTTCCCCTTAAGTGAATGTGTGTCAGTCTGAATTGACGCTGTTTGGTGTCAGTCTGAATTGACGCTGTTTGGCATCACAACGCTGTTATGAAAGTTTCTCTGGTATAACATGGGTGATGTTAGCATAGCAACCGAAGCTAAACTGACTACTTGCTAAGCAGTTTTCTACAGGCACTTTTTACCGACGTATTTTTCATTATGATTCTACTTGTGATAGTCGGACATGACAACCTGTGCAGCCCATGTATTGATTCCATCCGATAGCTGCTATAATAACAAACGTCTGCCTGCTCTCCACAATGATCAATAACAGCGAACGGATGGTCAAAGTAAGGTACAAATAAACAGAATCACACGAAGCCTGGTTAGTGTTGCCTGACTTTATAAAGTGTGTTTTTTTTAACAAGTGTGTGGTTGCGTTCTAGTCACTTTGCTCAGCACTACTGCTTGTTACAACTTTTATTTGCCGTACTCGCCTTAAGTGTTAGCTCAGGTTAATCTCGCCCCCCTCCGACGTAAGCGTGACGTATGCGGTTCTTGCTTCTAGACGGACAACTTTTTGGTGCTCGAAACGAACCGGATTCCGGAGCTATGACGCTGCTCCGCTGCGGTGTGAACAGGAAAACCCGGTGCTTTTCAAGCACCAGCACCGAACCGGCCCTGAAACACCGTTGGTGTGAAAGGGGTAACAGACCGGCCTCGTGGTGTCCGTAGGCTTGCCCTCACTGTCAGAGATATAGCTACAATACTTCAAAATGTAGCTTCTGGCGTCTTTTTTGTCAACAAGCCGAGGCGCAGTGGCAGTTGCACTCCCACTTGCAGCCATGCTCTGGCAGCTAGCGCGTGCACGAGAGAGGGGAGGCACTTAGAGCGTGCTTGAGAGGGGAGGGACTGCAGGCACGACTGCAGTGCAGGGAGTGGAAGCAGAGCGCTGAACACACACGGCTCTTATTAAAACAGCGCTTTCTCACCGGAGTACTTTTCCCCGTCATTCTTAAAGTACCGATACTAATGAAACGGAGGAATCGTAACGTTTTTAACGGAAGGGTATCGCGGTACCTTTCAAGTATCGGTACACCGTGCAACACTACCTGGAACACATCCTTCTCGGGGTGTAGATGACCCCGAGCCATAAGCGACAACAAATGTGATTCAGTGTCCCTCAGCTGTTTAGTCTATCTATTGAAGAATGTTGATTATTACACTCTGAACTAGTTAAAACCTGGAGCTACAGGAGGGGTCTTCAGGATTGATTGTGGCATCTCAACCGTGTGGTCAACTCGTGGCCCGTGACATGTCTTGTGAATTCTCCGTCCGAAGCTCCAAATAAACCGTCAGTGTTTGCCATCAAAGCTCCAGCTCTCCTCGTGTCTCTCTCTGAGTCCTGACACCAATTGCTTCAGAAGTTTCCCTGACACAATCTGTTTTATCTGATTTTAATAATGTTAATAAAACTGACATTATCCTGAAAATGTCAGAAATTGACTAAATTCCCCTGAAAACCACTACAAAATTGTCCAAATCATCAAAGTTATTATTTTACTATTATAATGAAATAATAGGCTATAATGCCATTCATTTTATTTAATGCATATTGTGCTAATTGTGCAAATTGCCTAGCATATGCAAGTTAGCATCCGGCAGTTTCTATGTGCTGAGGACCTGTTCTATAATGCAAATTACTTTGGGGTACTCAACATTTCCTGGTTCACTAAGTATGCAACTAGACTGATAAAGAGTAAACATAGTGTAGGTAGTTGATGTACCTGCTCTCCAGTCTGATGTGGTACCCCACAGTCTGACCCACCCTCTCTCCTCTCTCCGCTGCCACCCTCTCAGCCACAGCGATGGCGGCCAGGCGTCTCGGCTGCGTACAGAAGATCCTGCACGGCTCGCCCTTCCTGCTGCAGTCATCCAGGAGGAACTGTGGGATCTGAGAATCACAGAGACACTGGATGAGCTTCACAGAGATCTTCCTAAGGCTCGGATAGGCTATAAAGCAGCGGTTCCCAACCTGTGGGAACGCATTGCAAGTGGGCCGCCAAATAATTTGCAAAACATTATGATTTGTGTGGAAACATTTCATTATTAAGATTTTATTTTATTTTAACATATTTTACTTTCTCATTCTTGATCCTCCTTAGTCATTACAGTCCTTGACAGCGGTCTGTACTACTGGATTTACAAGGTGTTACATGTTCTGAATTGACCAATCAGAACTTGATTTAGCCTCCGTATGGTTTATGGTTGAATGTGGGCCGCGAAAATGTTTTTGATTCTTAAGTGGGCCGCTGCTATAAAGCATTGAATGGTTTAAGAAGGGGTGTCAAACTAAATGTCATCGCGGGTCACATCAGCATTATGGTTGCACTCAAAGGGCCGGTTATAACTTTAAGACTATATAAATATACACATATAAATATTTAATATATATAAAATAATGTATTATATTACATCGTTGCCTCTGCATTGGATTATTATCGGATAACTTCATAATTAACTACGTCTGAAAGCAGAAGTCTAGGGCAAATAATCCAGTCTCTTCAGTGCAAAATGAGATGCATTGTGGGACATGTAGTTTAAGGGCAACGTGCTTAAGGGCCTCCCTGATCCTTCTAACATATTTCAGTTGTAGAGTCAGACCCACCTATAATATATTTCATTTATATAGCACAAAAACAACGTCATCTCAAGGTGCTTCACAATGAGGAGAAAATACAATTAAAACAATTAAAATATAAAGTTATCTAAGGAGCAATATTGAATAAAATATGGTATATATATATATATATATATATATATAAAAAAGGTTAAGAGCATTAAAGGTTAGAATAAAAAGAACCTGTGTAGTTTTTCCCGAGCCGGTCTCCCCCACCACCAGCACCACGCGGCTTTCTCTGATCACGTGGATGATCTCCTCCTGGCGCTCGTGGACAGGAAGAGATTGCCGAAAAGTGTCCAGATCTGACGGGCTCCTTCTCTTCGGCACCGTGGGAATCCCGTTGTTCAGACGTCCGCTCGCTCTGTCACAGCCGCCCTCTGAGGGGAGGAGATTATCACATAAAACGTTTAACACTTGAGTCGTTTTCCTGTCAACTTTATTCCTCCCGGGTTGACAATACAATACATTTTAAACATAGTAAAGTCTTCTGAGAAAGAAAGCCGTTTTTATAGTCTTTAGTAGCAGGCAAGTAGAAGTACTCAGATCTTGTACTTGAGTAAAAGTAGAAGTACTCAGATCGTGTACTTGAGTAAAAGTAGAAGTACTCAGATCTTGTACTTGAGTAAAAGTAGAAGTACTCAGATCTCGTACTTGAGTAAAAGTAGAAGTACTCAGATCTTGTACTTCAGTAAAAGTAGAAGTACTCAGATCTTGTACTTGAGTAAAAGTAGAAGTACTCAGATCTTGTACTTCAGTAAAAGTAGAAGTACTCAGATCATGTACTTGAGTAAAAGTACTCAGATCTTGTACTTGAGTAAAAGTAGAAGTACTCAGATCTTGTACTTCAGTAAAAGTAGAAGTACTCAGATCATGTACTTGAGTAAAAGTACTCAGATCTTGTACTTGAGTAAAAGTAGAAGTACTCAGATCTTGTACTTGAGTAAAAGTAGAAGTACTGAGATCTTGTACTTGAGTAAAAGTAGAAGTACACAGATCTTGTACTTGAGTAAAAGTAGAAGTACTCAGATCTTGTACTTGAGTAAAAGTAGAAGTACACAGATCTTGTACTTGAGTAAAAGTAGAAGTACTCAGATCTGGTACTTGAGTAAAAGTAGAAGTACTCAGATCTGGTACTTGAGTAAAAGTAGAAGTACTCAGATCGTGTACTTGAGTAAAAGTAGAAGTACTCAGATCTTGTACTTGAGTAAAAGTAGAAGTACTCAGATCTTGTACTTGAGTAAAAGTAGAAGTACACAGATCTTGTACTTGAGTAAAAGTAGAAGTACTCAGATCTGGTACTTGAGTAAAAGTAGAAGTACTCAGATCTGGTACTTGAGTAAAAGTAGAAGTACTCAGATCGTGTACTTGAGTAAAAGTAGAAGTACTCAGATCTTGTACTTGAGTAAAAGTAGAAGTACTCAGATCTTGTACTTGAGTAAAAGTAGAAGTACTCAGATCTTGTACTTGAGTAAAAGTAGAAGTACTCAGATCTTGTACTTGAGTAAAAGTAGAAGTACTCAGATCTTGTACTTGAGTAAAAGTAGAAGTACTCAGATCGTGTACTTGAGTAAAAGTAGAAGTACCAGAGTGTAGGAATACTCTGTTACAGTAAAAGTCCTGCATTCAAAAATGTTCTTCAAGTAAAAGTATAAAAGTATCAGCATCAAAATATAGTTAAAGTAGCGACAGTAAAAGTAGTCATTGTGCAGATTGGTCCATTTCAGAACACTATCCTATCAACTTTCGTCCACCAGGGTTGACTATTTATAAAGCATATAGTATTAATAATCACCTAAATCTATGTTATACCTTTTAAGGCAACTTTATTCCTACTTATAACCACAAGTTTCACTCTTCTTTGTGAAATGTATGGTCAAAAAATCTAATTTAACCCAGTGTTAGATCACACTCAGACACTCACCAGATTCTGAAGACACAGACATGCCGTTCCTGGTGTTGGGCTGCATGTCGATGCGCTCCTTATTGCTGACGGGGAACCTCTGCAGGAGGCTGCGGATGGAATATATCGAATTTTGGGAGAGTGGGAGGGGCATGGAGGGCCGAGGTTTGTCCGTGCAGCTCTTTTTCCTCAGGGTGAGGAAGCGATTTGGTCCTTTCCTGAGACAGAGGGAGAGAAATGTCTTTTGTCAACATACAATGTATATTTTATACACATTCAAACACGTTTATTTTACTTAAACCGATATATTATCGACTGCTTAAAGGTGGGGTAGGTAAGTTTGAAAAACCGGCTCGAGTGCGCTAGAATTTGAAAATACACAACCGGAGAAAATCTGCCACTTCCTTACAGAGCCCCTCCTCCAACACACACGAACGCGCACATGACCAATGAGGGCACGAGATAAGTTTGTGCACAGATGGAAGGCTGACAGGCAGGTAGGCCATCCAGTTATTTTAGCCGGGCCGGCTCAGATGATTGGTCGTGCTTTTTACAGTACCACGGCTTCCACAGATGATATTTCTTTGTCAAAGCACTGAAGATATTCATTGCTATCGGGATGTTAAGAGCATTCCATGGAATATAACAAAAAGTGTATCTCGAGCCGGTTTCTCAAACTTACCTACCCCACCTTTAAGTGTAGAAACATTTAACCACATATGCGGCTTTCACACCGGCGCTTTTCACTTTCTAGCTCCTCGCGAGAGCTTTTCTGGTTCAGTTCCCGTTTCCCTTTTCAGCTCCCGCTCTGTTCACACTGCCCAGAGCTGCCGCTGCTGCGTCATGACGTCACAGTTTACGTCGCTGATTTTCTCCCACAACAACAACGGGCCGGGGACTGCATCGGGTCGTGTTGCTTTTAATCATACGAAGCCAGATTAAATTAAAGAACGACTTCTCCAACCTTATACTTTTCTCCAGAGTGCCGTGGTTCATTGTTTATTAATGTGTTTCAGCGGCATTTACCGACCGCTGCAGTGCTGGCTGCTCTTCAACGGGAGTGTATTCTCCCGTTAGCTCACACGGCTCTAAAGTATTCACTGTCTGACTGTCACACAAGCAGCTGATACATATCCCCAGTTCCCCTTAAGTGAATGTGTGTCAGTCTGAATTGACGCTGTTTGGCATCACAACGCTGTTATGAAAGTTTCTCTGGTATAACATGGGTGATGTTAGCATAGCAACCGAAGCTAAACTGACTACTTGCTAAGCCGTTTTCTATAGGCACTTTTTACCGGCGTATTTTTCATTATGATTCTACTTGTGATAGTCGGACATGACAACCTGTATAGCCCATGTATCTCCACAATGATCAATAACAGCGAACGGATGGTCAAAGTAAGGTTTCCTGCACGCCTCGACGTAAGAGACGCCGCGTCATAGCTCCGAAGCTCTTGCCTCTGGACCGACAATTTTTTGGAGCTGGAAGTGAACCGCATTCCGGAGCTATGACGCGCCGCCGCTGCGGTGTGAACAGGAAAAACCGGCGCTTTTCAGGCTCTAGCTCCCAGCAGGAGCTGGAAAAGCGCCGGTGTGAAAGGGGTATTAATGAGAGTGACAATCAGAATCTGAATATCTTTATTGTCATCAAACTCGGGTATAACAACATTTCTGAGGAGTGAGAGATATTTAAATGTCTATTTTTTTTTTGCACAATTCCTCAGGGATGCTCAGATGAAGATGGTTCTTGTGGAGGAACTCACCCTTTGCTCCTGGAGATGTATCCCAGGGACTGAGCCGTCCGATGGATGAAAGCCCGCTCAGTACTGGTCAGGGACGAAGGAAACTCCATCTCTGCAATATTAGGACGACACAAGATTCAAGGCTTTTATTGTCATGTGTGCATAGCTACAGTGTCGTTATGACAATGAAACTCTGAGGTCACAGGCTCCTCCAACAGAGCAACACAATAAAACATATAAAATAGTGCAAGTAAATATAAATAAAATTGAATATAGTAGAAATAGTGCAGAATAAATCTGTGTATGGTTCGTTCTTTGGTTATTCCGTTTCAAAACCGAATAGGAAAAACTAAAAACTTGTGTTGTTTTTCTGTTTTAAAACCAAAACGAAATAACGGAAAACCGACGTTATTCTGTTTTAAAACCAAAACAGATAAATCAACTTTTTGGTTTTGTTTGACTAAGAGGACGTGTATCTTTTTATTTATTTATTTACAAGTAAACGCGAAGCTCTCGGAAGTGATTTCAAAACAAAAGTATGCTAAAATACACTTGCATTGAAGCAATACAGTATTCGGTTAAAGGAACCGTGATAATATTATAAACAACGGAAAACAACATACACGGATTAGAATAGTCTATAATATACAAGTCATTGGAATATTGATATATAGTCAACCATCCTGTCTTCATGCTCAATCTGGGAGGAGAAGTCAAGCTAAATCAAACTATTCTGTATAGCCCATTAAAACCAACAGATATTAACCAGAATTAAGTCAATTTGAACTCAATCACACGCCAAAGAGAAGAGGTTGGTCATCAGCAGCCTTTAAAGGTTTCTGTGGTCTGTTATTTAAAAAGGTTAGATAGTCCAACAATTATAAGTCAACTTTATTGTCAATCAATGTTTGTGTAGAGACCGAGAGATCGTTTCCCACAATCCCGAATAAGTATAAAATATGTATATCCTATATACACACACAATCAACAGACAGATTTATACATATGCACACATTAAGATTAAAACACAACGATCAATATATACAAAATAACAGTCACTTAAGCAGCCACTACTGGTCTCTACTCTTCTTGTGTCTAGATCTGGGAGCATGAGTAGTGTGTCTGATTAAAATATGTGTTCTACTAGTGTTCAGCTTTTATGTTTTCATATGTGACAATGAAACCTGTTGGTACCTTTCTGGTCGCCGTAGCGAAACCTCTCCAGAGCCACGTTCACGGATATTTTGACTACCTCATCGATGTGGATCTTTTTCATCCCATTGGAGACGGTTTTCCGGCTCCTGGCGGGCCGCTGTGACCCCGACATGATGCCCTGAAACACAACAACAGATAACCTGAACACAGGAACAGAGGACTGGGAGAAACATCAAAACTCTACTCATTTAAAGGTCCCCTATTATACTGTTTTTCATCAATATATTATAGGTCTCAGATATATACAGAGCCTGTCTCTGATTGGCTGAAACACCAAACAGATCATTGCAGCATTACCCATAATCCCCTCTGTTTCAGCCCTGTTTCCAAAGTGCTGATTCTCTGTCTGTTACTTTAGATGAAAATAAGGAGCCCCTCCCCACGCCCCTCTGAGAGAGATTTGGTTAAAAAGAACTCAATGGTGCTCTAGGAGGAGATTCAGGTGATAAGGTGGGGGGGGGGTACCTTGGTTGCTGATTGGCTAATGGTTACTCAAGCCAAAAAAACATTATGACATCATAGGTGACCTTTAAGACATATATATACAAATGTCAGGTTGTGAAATGGATCAAATATTTGATATAATACAAAAAGGAGCGTTATTGGCATGACCACATCTTAAACATAGGATTGCCAAAGCATGCCGCACTAGGCGTTACAACAACAACAACAAAAATACTAAACATACATGTCAACAATACATGTGTCACAACAGCAATGTGTTGCAGATCTTGTACTTGAGTAAAAGTAGAAGTACTCAGATCTTGTACTTGAGTAAAAGTAGAAGTACTCAGATCTTGTACTTGAGTAAAAGTAGAAGTACTCAGATCTTGTACTTGAGTAAAAGTAGAAGTACTCAGATATTGTACTTGAGTAAAAGTAGAAGTACTCAGATCTTGTACTTGAGTAAAAGTAGAAGTACTCAGATCTTGTACTTGAGTAAAAGTAGAAGTACTCAGATCTTGTACCTTGAGTAAAAGTAGAAGTACTCAGATCTTGTACTTGAGTAAAAGTAGAAGTACACAGATCTTGTACTTGAGTAAAAGTAGAAGTACTCAGATCTTGTACTTGAGTAAAAGTAGAAGTACTCAGATCTTGTACTTGAGTAAAAGTAGAAGTACTCAGATCTTGTACTTGAGTAAAAGTAGAAGTACTCAGATCTTGTACTTGAGTAAAAGTAGAAGTACCAGAGTGTAGGAATACTCTGTTACAGTAAAAGTCCTGCATTCAAAATGTTACTCAAGTAAAAGTAGAAAAGTATTATCATCAAAATATAGTGAAAGTAGCGACAGTAAAAGTAGTGATTGTGCAGATTGGTCCATTTCAGAATAATATATATGATATGTTTTATAATGATTGATCATTAAAGTGTTATCAAAGCTGGTAAAGGTGCAGCTAGTTGTAATGACTTTGTATACTGTAGTAAAGTTATATACACAGTACCTCAAAAATGTACTTAGTTACTTCCCACCCCTCGCAGACGTTAAGGTTAGGACTTGACACAGTTCACATTATTCATTAAAGTTAGAATTGAGTCAATGTTTAGTTGTGAGATTGGGGCTAAAGTGTACCAATGTTTACAATTGGTTGAGACATGGTGACGTAAATCGCAAGGTGAGGTCATGTTTATAGGGTGACCAGGTGTCCCACTAATTAACACAATGTCCCCCATTGGCTGTGTCAGGTGTCAATCAATCAACACAGTCTATAAATGTATTTACCTACAGGTGTAGCCGGTGGAGGGCGATTCCTAAAAATAGTTTTTTGTGACATTTGCCAGATTATTTTTACTCCACCTCAAGACTCAGACATTGCAAAGACATATCATGTAGACATGTGTTGTTATGGGGGGAAAAACCATTCAAACCCAACATATGTAAGTCCTTCACTTGCATAGTTTGGTCCAACAAATCAACCCATAGCAGAGCGTTGTTATTGATATTTGTAAGCTAATATAGTGTCGTTTTTTTAGGGGTAAAAGCTCTTATCATTGCAGTAACACAACCGTAATCTTTGTCCCACATGTGGCTTGTTGGCACCTGGTCACCCTTCTGACTTTTAGAGGCTCTGGTGAACTGTTAGCTTTAGCTTATAAACACATTGAGTCATTTCACCGGTAACACTATTTAAACTATCTTAGCTACAGCTAGCTGCGCGTGAGACAGAGTTATCTCTATGAGGACTGTAGCTAGCTTCATGTCCAAGTTTGTCATAAAACCAATTAATGTATATACTGTACCTTGTCTATTCAGTAGCTTTCGTTTCTCTGGAAAGCCACCAGCACTCTTCATCTGATGAAAGCTTCTGCAGATTCTGGCAATCGCCGGCAATGGTGGCGCCAAAAACAAAGATACATCCGGTCTGGCTCCTTCAAAATAAAACCAGGTTTTAATTTTGACGAACCAAACGTAGAGATTATTATCATTATTTTACCCAGAAAATTACGAGTGTTGAGAAGTACATTTAAAAGTACTGTACTTAAGTAAAATGTTGAGGTACTTGTACTTTACTTAGTATTTCCATTGTATGCTACTTTGTACTTCTACTCCACTACAGTTCAGAGGTAAATAGTGTACTTTTACTCCACTACATGTATTTAATCCCTTTAGTTACTTAACAGATGTGGATGAATGATGTGAAATATAATCAAGTGTTAAATCAGACTTTAGTTCCACCTGGAGTAAATTCACAAGCTACCCTGCAGTATTCAAAGTCATTCAAACTAGCTGCACCGTTACCAGCTTTGAGAACACTTTAATGATCAATCATTATAAAACATATCATATATATTATTCTGAAATGGACCAATCTGCACAATGACTACTTTTACTGTCGCTACTTTAACTATATTTTGATGCTAATACTTTTGTACTTTGACTTGAGTAACATTTTGAATGCAGGACTTTTACTGTAACAGAGTATTCCTACACTCTGGTACTGCAGAAGTGGGATGTAATTGAGTACATTTGCTCTTGTGTAGAACTTTTCCAATACAACAGTAATAAATCAAATGTTTATGCTACTTTGTACTTCTACTCCACTACAAGTTGGAAGCTAATATTGTGCATTAAATATTACACATCTGCCGTAGTTCTCTATTTATAGAGCCCTGATTAGAAGACTTATGGACAAACTGGAAGAACTGCCACCGAAACTGAATACTTGACGTGGATCATAAATATATCAGCAATTAAACAACATCTTCAATTTCTCTTCACACAATACGTCTCCTTGCAGTATCAATACTAATTCGGCTGACTTTTATATTTGATCCAATTGGTAGATAGGCTTTATTTACACCATAACGGTGCACAGCTGATAGACAAGGACTTGTAGTTTTTAAAGATATTACTGATTTTCTTTGAATACTGTAGGAGCCATTTTATGGGTGTTGTTGGTGTCTCAGTTTATTTAAAGTGGACCTATCATGCTATATTTGAATAATATAGTGTAGGACCATACCTATATAAGGCATATTTATACTTTTTTTTTTTCAAAATACCAAACAGATCATGCATTTCAGCCATGCCTCATTTTGCTCAATTTGAATTTGTTTAGCTCTGTTTTTGCAAGGGCAGATTATGTGAGAACAGCACCATCTACAGGCCTGGCATATGTACTACAGCGTCTCCAGCGCTTTCGAACGGCAATGGCCGTGGCTGTCTCCTCCTGATTGGTGGAGTTGGCCCAATAGCCGTAGCGCCACTGTCCTGACGTCAGGACAGTGTTCAAATCTGGATCAGTTTTTATCAGATCCGTTGCAGCCCCTTTTTTAGAGATTTGGGTATGGAGGAAAATAGAGAGGGTTGTGTTTTCTGACACTTGGTGAGTTCCCTGGAACACCGGGGACACATATTCATGTAGAAAAGACGTACAAAAGTGCATTTTGCATGATAGGTCCCCTTTAAGTTATATGTATAGTGCAATATTATTTTTGAACACTTGGTGGCGGGGTTTAGCTGCACCGGGTGTATAAAAGAGGTCATAGGTGACAGGAGGACGAGGACACAGAAGGAAGAGAGCATACCGATTCCACCAGCCCGGCAGATGCTCATCACAACCAATAACTGTATAATTAAACCTTGGTATGTAAAACGCAAAATAAACATCATTATAAACTGCACCAAAGGACCGGAAAGTCATCTGTTTGTGTCTGCGTCTGGATCACTCTCCAGCCCTCCTGTGAAGTAATGGCAAAAGGATATAGGACATTGGAAGAATAACATTTCCATTACAAATACAATACATGTAAATTCTGAGTTGAGAGAATAGTCAGGGGTTTTGGATGGGAGACACATCTATGGAATCATAATTTCAATAGCTTATCATTAATGACGGATATACCTTTCTGTTTGTGATGTTTTACAAATCAGATATTCATGTGTAGAAGTAAAACATGTGAAATAATATAGCAATATCCTGTAAAATTATGTGAAAACATGAATAAAACTACACATCTTCAGATGTTATACATACATAAGTGTCCTACACTAATAATACAAAGTTATTATGGCATTGTATGCTGTGTGTTATTTGTAACATCTTCAGAAACTACCTTTCCAACTCCTCCAAAAAAGCTTTGGGGGTCTACAGATAAATATTAAGCCTGACAAAGTACTTAACGTCTAATATATTGCTTTCCTGCAATGTTAACTATGTTGAAGCACTTATTTTAACTGATATTATACATATTAATTATACTCTTATAAGATGTATGTAGATAGTATAAGAAATGTGCAGAATATGACAGTTTAATGGTGGAGGTATACACACATATTGATAGATAATAATAATATAATAATAATAATAATAATAGATTTATTTTGTTAGCGCTTTTACAGGTGCTCAAAGACGCTTTACAGATATAGTGAAAAGAAAAGAACAACAAATAAATATATATAGTTAAAGTTAAAGTCAAATAATACAAAAACAATCACACATTAAAAGCCAGATTGAAGAGGTGAGTTTTTGTGAGTTTTTTTAAGCTGGTGAGGTCAGTGCAGTCTCTGATGGGTTGTGGGAGTGAGTTCCAGAGGGAGGGGGCAGCGACGGAGAAGGCTCTGTCCCCCCAGGTCCGGTGATTGGTGCGGGTGGGGATGGATAGGAGGTTGGCTTCTGATGAGCGGAGGCAGTGGGAAGGGGTATGGTGGTGCAGCAGGTCTGTGAGGTAGGGGGGGGCCTGATTGTTGAAGGCTGTCTTGAGGGCTGTCTGTCTGAGATGTCTTGTAATGCACTGTTGAGGAACCTGCGACCCAAGTCTTTCATTCATTGCATAACTACACCTAGTTGTGTATATGATATGTCAATAAACCTTAGAACATCTGGAAAACTTGAAAGGGATTGAAAAATAGCCATTATATACAGTCTTTAATTAACTATTAGTAGAGAATAACGAGTAATGAATATACTTTATAGGGATCTGCAGATAAATGTTTAGCCTTTTCAAGCACCAACTATCAAATATCTGGCCTGATTGTTGGCACTTGACAATCCCCTTCCCTGAATTTTACTCAGGTGTAACTAAAGTCTGATTTAAGGGTTGTTTATATTTCACATCATTAATCAGAATCTGCAAAGTAACTAAAATACATTTAGTGGAGTAAAGATACCAGGTTAACCTCTGAATTGTAGTGGAGTAGAATTACAAAGTAACAATAAATTGCATGTTTTACATAATGCTGTGTATTACTTGGGATCAATAAAGTATATCTTATCTTATCTTATCTTATCTTAAGATGATCGATGACTACTGCCATATTTGCAAAATTTGCCTCTGAACCTACCTTGACAAGTGCATGTTTCAAGGCTTATCAATTGACAACAGGAGGGGTCACAGACATAAAACCAGCTATTAAATAAAGCTCTTCTGACCTGAGCTGTCATGTGGGTATATATTAATGCTGCCCATTATGGACACAAGCAATTTCCACCCATTTATTAATTATATGTTTTAAATGTGATAACACCAATGTGTTTCCTAAACCTCCAGGGGTGTACACAGTTTAATACTGGCAACTTCTAATTATGGGAAAAACGAAAACGTCTATTAAAACTACAATTCCCAGTAGAGACGTGCCATAAAACATGTGCCAGCATCAGGGCTCTGGCCAGCATGTGTAGTTCTGGGGGGGGGGAGCTGGACCCGTTCGAGTCCAGTTTTGAATAGTGTGCCGTGGCTTCATTCCATTTCAAAGAGCTGTTTGACGCTCGGCGTAACCTTGGCGCACTGCCACTCCAACATCCAATCACAGAGCTTGAAGATTAATCACGGGGTTTGTCAAGCAAAGGGACTGTAGCTCCATGGACTGTAGTCCCAAACGATAGTTGAGGATTATGGGTAGTGTAGTGTCTTCGGCCATCCTAAACTCAGAAAAAAATATTTGTTTCTCCGAATCGAAGGGGAACAACACAAAAGCATTGTACACAATTTAAAGTTTTAAACCAATCAATGTTGTGTAATTAACAAGGATAAACAGATGTGTTTAGTTGATGAGTACTGCAGATTACTATGCAAACTTCGAGACCGGAAATACTGTTTTCACCCCAAGCTGTTGCCTGGCAATGCAATTCTGTTGATAGTTAAGGCTGATAATGACTTTATTTTGAAATTCAGTTCCTGACGGACGGCAAAAAGCCTGAGATTATAGAATTAAACAAATAAATAAAAACAAAGATAATTGTGTGTTATTTAAGCAATAGCTCACGACAGGCCGTGGTATATGGCCATTATATCACAGTTAAGGGGCGTGGTTCGGCCCGACAACCCCCTTAACTGTGATATAATGGCCATATATCACGGCCTGAAGTGAGCTATTGCTTTTATAAAACGGTTACCAAGTGTGGCAATATGAAAGAAAAATACACACTCTAATTTAAATAGCTGTTATTAGTAAATAATGATGTTCAAAATAAAATAGTCCCTCCGTTGCCTTCTGCACGAAACATAGTGCAAGGTGGTTGCTATGCAACAACACTAACAACAGCTAGCGAACATATTAGACAGAGAGCGTTGATCCATTATTTGGCTATTTATTTACATTAATGTGTATGTTGCCGTTTCTTGTGCACCCACTGAAAAACTGTCCAGCATCAGTAGCATGGCTTACGTGGTTATAGGCTGAGGTTGTTCTAGGCTGTTGCTTGGCGTGGCGAGAATATTGCTCCACTTTCTCCGGTCCCCGAGATGCGGCTTCCAGTAGCTCTGGAGAGAGCTTTCGCACCTGTGGCCACTAACGGTCATAATTTCTCTGCTTTGTTTCAAGACCCGCATCAGAAAGCTTTTGAATGGTGATACTTTTCCAGTTGGTCGACCTGCTCTTCACGTAG